CGACGCGGGCTGTAGCCGCTGTACGACGATTCCTGATGGTCATCTTCTTTGGCCGTCGCGAGCCTCTGGACGACGCGCACCGTGTCGGTACTTGGCTGGTGTCTTTTTGGGCCGTTGATTATGTGGGCCTTGGGGTCCAGGCCCATATATGCTATCAAAAGCCCATTACTCGGGATTAATAAACACAGTCCATTACTCAGAATTAATAAGTAGAGTCAATTGTGCCTAACATGGGATCATGGCCCGCATGGGGACGCCCATATCCAAGCTGACCTGTTCATCAACAAGTCATGAGCCCGAGCTGGATTCCATCGATGTTGGGCTCACTCTAGGAGTTACGTGACACTTATTTTGAGACAACCCAAAAAGAAAAGTTAGACAAGTAAAATGAGATAGAGGGAGTAACACAAAGGACAACCTCATCTGTAAGCGAAAAGTGTTGCAATTACATAAACCGGAGTTCGAAGGTCAGATCGGAAACATTCAGATAATAATTATCGTGATAACATTTATGATGATGATTATGGTAATTATTCAGATGATGATGATGATGATGATGATGATGATGATGATGATGATGATGATGATGATGATGATGATGATAATAATAATAATAATAATAATAATAATAATAATAAGAATAAGAATAAGAATAAGAATAATAATAATAACAAGAAGAAGAAGAAGAAGAAAGTTGTGGGCATACCGGACTACCCCAAGGAAGGCTACTGGTGAAACTCTCTTTGCCTTAACCTATGGATTTGAAGCCCGAGCACCATTGGAAACTCTAGTTCCAAGTAAAAGGGTTGAAGATTATGATCCTCAGAACAACGAGGACATGCTCAGGGCAGAGCTGCACTTAATCGAGGAAATAAGGGATCAGGCGTTCATCAGAGTTGAAAATTACAGAAAGCAAGTCAAAGAGTACCATGATGAAAGGGTTAGTCCTAGACTATTTCAAGTTGGGGACCTAGTTCCGCGAAGGAGGTTTGTCAGCAAACCCTTGGAAGGTGGAAAATTTGCCAAAAATTGGGAAGGGCCTTACAAAGTCAAAGGAATCATTGGACCTGGAACTTACAAACTATGCACTCCTAAAGGGAAGCTAGTAGAGAGAGTGTGGAATTCAGAGCCCTTGATGAAATTCTATAGTAGGTTTGTAATCTCAATTTGAAGAGTTATTCAATAAAGTTTGTTTTCTTTCACGAAAGTCCTTGTAAAATTGTGAAGGTTCTTTAACCGCCCCAAAAAAAACTAAGGCTACTACGCCTAATTTTGGTACTCGCAGAAAAGCCAAAGTCCAAATTCCTCATCCAAGTCCCGCAGCTTAACTTAGTCTTACCAAAAGACGAGAGCAGGGACACAAGATCTTTTTCAAGATCAGACAGCCTCACAAACAGAATTCAAATTTCCTCAAACGGGAAAAGATGGTCTTTTTCAAGGCCAAGACTGATTTACAAGAGGCTAAGGATGAACTTAGGGAATTAAATTTGCATCGGAGAGGCCATCAGGCCTCGCCAATTCAAGAGGATCATCACGAGGCTTAATGGACCTAAAGTGGAGAACCCACCCTACTTCGATTCAGAAAATAAGAACTTAGGGTTATAATTGGTAAAGCTCTCCGAAATGGTTCAAAGATTAAGAACCAAGGAAAGCGACCCTGATCGGGAAATCAGGGCTAAAACTATAAGGACAAAAGTGATGGAAAACATATTTATCTATTGGGTAACCAAAGTCGGGCCTTGAGGCCAAACCAGGATCCCAAATCATGCAAATGCAGAAACAAAGGTCAAATTCCCAGACAATTAGCCAAGAAGGAACCTAGCTTCAGAATCAGGACTGGGTGATTCGGGCCAAGCCTAAGGGAGGTTGGACAGAACATATAAACCGACCCCAGAGCAGCAAGATGTAACAGACAATGAATGCATCACATATGCAAAAAGTAAGGTGCAGAGAAGTAAATGTTTGTTACAAACCACCCCAAGGGTGGAAAACATTACAGGCACGCAGGCCCAGGAAAGATTTTCATCATAGCAAGTCAGAATAAATAACATGTACATAACAGGTGTCGGGGCATCCCCCTACATGCCACCTGGCAGCGGCTAACTCTAACGGCATCAGCAGGGCATTTCTCTTCTGCTAACAAGGAAACGGCCCGAGGTGCCAGCCTCTTCCCAGTTCTCCCCGTCAGGATAAGCTGGAGGTCGGCAGCCGACATGGTAAAGGTTCAGCACCGTTCTCTCGAGACCCCTGATCAGGCTAGCACCCCCCTAATAAAACAGATCGAAATCAGGGATGATCATTGAAATGAGAGGAAAGAAAAATAAGTCAAATGCTACCAACCTGGAGAAAAGGTGAGCACCACCTTCCCATCATCGCCCACGTAGTGACCCAAACGGTGAGGCCCGTCCATGTCAAGGAGACCAGCAGCATATTCATTTCCCGGAGTAAGGAGGGGTACATCCCATCGACGGATAAACTCCACCCATTTATTAACAAACGGGAGTTTACCATTCGTATGAGTCACCCACACCCACTTTTCCTCCCAGTTTGGATCAAGACTGGGGAAAGGCGGGCCCTCGAACAGATGATGTTCTGGCCTCTGGGAAAACTCAATGAAGCCCTTGGCAAAGAAGACACCAGATCGGGCTGCGTAGAAGAAATGCCGGGACATCTCTGTGTTTAGCAGGATCAGTAGGTGCACGCAGTGGGCCATAAACCCCTCAGGAAGAGATAAGACACCGGAGTAAATTGACCGGGGACAGCGCGGTAGTACGCGAGGATGTTCAGTACGAAGGGGTGAGGGGAAACCTTGTGGATCGTTGCGCTTACCGCTACACTAAAAGCAATCGCTGATAGTGTAGCACGCCCTTCCCCTTTTATAGAACAGGCAAAGCGCCACGCGGTTCGATTGCACCGGCAGGCTGGCAGATTGCTGACCACAGACCCGCGGCAGGCCCAACAATCTCCCCCCAGCACCTGCCAGCCTACAACTGAGCAGCATGCTGTTGCCGGGGGTCGAACCCGTGACCTTTGGCTCTGATACCAATTGTGGATCGTTGCGCTTACCGCTACACTAAAAGCAATCGCTGATAGTGTAGCACGCCCTTCCCCTTTTATAGAACAGGCAAAGCGCCACGCGGTTCGATTGCACCGGCAGGCTGGCAGATTGCTCACCGCAGACCCGCGACAGGCCCAACAAACCTAAGACCCATGTGCAGGCTGGATAGGTGCACCCCGAAGTGGAGTGGGGAAGGAGGATCCACTATGGTCTGGCCAGGGGAAGGGCGTGAACAAACCATGCTGGGACCCGCCAGGGCAACGACAGTTTCAAACTCTTCCTCTGTGAGAGCCACCGCGGTCACGGCCCGAGCCCTATCGGCTGGAAGGTAAAAGTGAGTAGAAGTATCATGACGAACTGAAGACATGACGAACTGAAGTTTTAAAGAAATCAATAAATGTCCGAATGAATGGAGAGATAAGGAGAAAGGTTACGTTATAATGGAACCCTAAAGACGCTTTGGAATCAATGGAACCGCTTGGAGTCTTCTCGAAAACCGGTTAAAAACCGCTTGGGAAACCGCTTTAAAATCCTTGAGAAGACGGGAAGGGCAAAAGGCGGATTGGAAACTGAGCCCTGACTGCAAGCCTACTTCGGCGCAATAATTGCTAGGAAGAGCTATAGCTGCCCATGAGGATTCGAGATCTGGAAAATAATAAATCACTTCAAATCTACTCCTCCAAATTCAACTCTGCTAATTTTGAGTAGGGGGCTCGTGATGGTACCATGGATTTAGCCCATGGCCCAATTACGTAGTCCAGCCCATAAACGGGATCAGCCTAATGACAGGATTAGCCCATAAACGGGATCAGCCCATAAACGGGATATACGATTTGCAAGTTGCATAGCCCATTAGGGATCAGGCCCGCTACAGGAGCCCACAACCAGGTCGAGCTAGATAGCAGGCCTCGAGCCTGGGCGGAGTTCTAGTGAGGCCGGGACGTTCCTAAGGCTTATGTGGCAAGCTATCATTCGTTGACAGATATTTGGCAACAGGCAGAATTCAACCGGATTACTACAACCAAAAGGAGGAAACAATCGTGTGGGAATCAAAGACCGAATAGTTCTATTTCAAGCAAGAATATAGTTCATTAATTAGCATTAATTGTATAAGATTCCTCCCATAATTCTATCTCCTAAATCCCTATAAATGCACGATGTAAACACCTTATCAAGGGAGACGACGAATCGATTTCTGAAGTCTGGAATAAGAAGACAAAACTGCCTTACACTGCCATATTATTATGATTTTTTTTACGTATATTTAGCTCTCGTAGTTGGATTTAACCCCATCAGTCCATATTAGAAGGAGATGAATGCATTGTATTGAATGTATGAATATTGACTAGGAATTACAGTTTACAAAGAGGAGTATATAAAGGAAAATTCAGGTTTGAGCCTTTAATATGGGCCTAATATGTCTGTTACATAAAATGACAGATAATATAAAAGGCTAATCTAGACTACGCTAATAATAGTTATGTACAATGATATAAATGATGTTCAATAATCATGTGTGCATTGCTGTCAAGCCCAATAATCGTGACACCGAGGGTGCGATTCTATTACATTAAGCCCAATAATCCTGTCAGACCGGCTGGACAGGAATGTGACTATAAAGTAACAAGGTTGTCAAAAACAGTTAATATTTTTTATTTTTAGTTATATAGTTACGTTACTATACTTAGCAATAGCTCTCTTCTTTATTTTTATTTTTAGTTATATTTAGGAGGAATTTGATTTTGCACTCCATTTTTGGGTGATATTGAACTTTGCACCTTATTTTGAAAAAACTTTAATTTTTCACCCCAACACATAACATTTTGTGAAGAAAAATTAATCAACGGAGGAGTCCAAGCCCAACACATAACTTAATGGCTGCCAATACATACCCTTTTGTTATTGTAATACAAGCCCAACTTTACTCCTCCGTAAATAAGAGTCCGTCCAAAATATCTTCGAACTCCTAGGGACGAGCGAAGGAGCTGTACGGTTGTACCTTTGCCACCCATCCACCCACCTCCGACTGCTGCTACCGCCGACCTCTCCCTGCCCGGATTCCCTGCGTCTCTCTGCCTCACGAATCATCCAGGTAAACGGCTCAAGCTTTCTCAAAATTGCTCTTCTTCTCTTAGCAGACTTAAGAAATTTCCAGAGTTCCGGACTTGCCGTAATTATGCTCAAGATCGCTTCTTTTTGCTAAAGTGGTAAAGTTATAATTTATCTGTTTGCAGAATTTTAATGACTGAACTAAAGAAATAAACTTTATCTCAAATCAGTTTATTTTTAAAACAAATAAATTGCAACAACATTATCATTCATATTTTTATGAATTTTTCCTCTATGATATATTCTCGCGGAGCTCTTTATGCGGAACATGGTAGGAGCTTCTTTTGACAACATTCCTTGTTGCCCTCTTGATCTTTATTTTTCATAAACCTATTCATTTTTCAATTGTGTGGCTTCGATCATTGCTAAAGTAGAGGTATTTATTTCCTCAATTCTCTCCCATAAACAAATTGTTACCTTATTCAGTGGGTTGCAGTTAGTTGGTGTAAAAGATGAGGAGAACAGAAGCCATACTATGGCAAATGGCAGCCATAGTATGTCCTATGCCACTACAACTCTGATTTTCTTCTATGTAGTTATGTACACATATAAGCACAGTTAGGGGTTTTCGGGGGTAGGGAAGGGGTTATGATCAGATTTTGGAGTAAAAAAGCTCTGTTAAACCCTTTGAGATCCTTATACCCCCTTGAAAACTCTTCTCTGTTTTAATGCCATGTATTCACCCCTCTATTGCAATATGCTTTTCCAGTCTTCAATTACCTATCTGGCTATCTCCTATCTCCCAAGTATTCAAGGATCGACTCTCCTCACTTTTAGACCTATGGCTATCCATCTCTTCTTGGTTTAAAAAAGCGCGCCTGAGGCACGCAAAGGCGCTAGGCGCTCTAAGGCGTTTACTTTATCGCATCTTACACCCCCCAGGCGGCGTAGGTTCTAAGAGGCTCGCCTTATATGGCGCTTTTTGACGCCTTTTGCGCATCTAGGAGGCGCGCGCTTCTCACGCTTCATGGAACTGTCTTGGCAATTCAGTCTCTTTAGTCTTCTTCCTTTTTCCTTCGGTGTTGGCTTTGCTTCCTGGCTCTGACACCTGCGTCCTGCTTCCTTCTGCGTTTGCTTTATCGCAAGTCCTGTTTCTTCCGCTGCTGTCTTGTGTCGCAGGCCAGGAGAATTCTACTGTTGTCCTCTTATGTGTGTGATTGTTTATTAATTAATTATGTAATATTCTATATTTTATTACCTTGAAATTGTAGAGTTGGTACCTCTGTCGGTCTGTTCGAGATCATGCTGAGTAGCGTGCCTAATTTTTTATTTTTTTAACAAATTTATAAGACAGTTTTTATTATAAACAATTTTTATATAACAGTTTATAAATTATGTTTTGTAGTTTTAAGATTGAGTTTTGTAACATAACTTTTGGCAATGATGCCGTTTAACATTTTTTTGCTACTGTCTTAATAAATGTTGGGTTTCTCTTATGATGTTTAGAAAGATTGTTTAATAGTTTGAAGTATTTTTGTGATGTTATCACTTTTTGAGAAGAGTGTTTCATGTAGAAGTAGTATAAATATATTTTACCAAAGATATGATGTTAAGATCCGTGAGGCGCGCGCCTCGTCGCCTCGCGCCTCGGGTAAATCAATGAAAACGCCTAATGCCGCCTCGCGCCTTTTAAAACTAAGCATCTCTTCCCTTTAACCTCCTGCAACCCCTACCAACTACCAAGTTGCGACAAAGCACAGTTTTCTCAATCTGATATTAATAGATTTCATAACCATGTATCTAAATTTGCAAATATAGTTATATACTCCCTCTGCCCCAATTTGTTTTGAAAAATTTCCTATTTTGGTTGTCCCAAAATGATTTTCCACTTTCCATTTTAAGTATAGGAATATGATTTAAATGGCAATTTTGCCCTTATTTTTCTAACCCACCCACTCAATATAAAGAGAATTAGTTACCACCACTCATTATATCACTTTTTCTCATCCGTCTTTATCATATCAGTCCACCATCAAGCTTCTCGCTCCCACATCCAATTTTCACTCAAGCACCATGCACCTCGGTCAAATGGAGGGTTTCTCTAAGATTTCTTTCCAGTTCAAAGACAAAGGAGACATTAAAGAGTGTATCCGTTGAAGACGAAGTAGGACAAATTATGTACTTCGACAAACTCCATTTATAAATGAAGGACGAGATGGGGAAAAAATAGGTAGAAGGAAAATTGAAGGGGGGCACACAATATTATTACAAACTTATTATTTGCAGACTCCATTTGCACTCCAGACTCCATTTGGAGTGTAGGTTGTGCGGTGACGTAGAAAGAAAAATGAAGGGGCGCACAGTACCAATGTAGTCTGTATCTCTCTCTCTCTGCATCTTGCAGGGTTTTTTAGTGATAGAGTACTTTTACAGATTTATTTTTCAACTTTAGTGCTTTTGTTTTTAGTTTATGAGAAAAGGGTAAAATGGCGAAGCACTGAAGCCAATATCACTTTATATCATTTCTTAATCCCCGTGTCGGTCAACTTTTGCAATTCAATTCGGGACAGAGGGAGTATTATATATTCTGTATTGAAATGGTAAGAATAGTGGTCATACAGCTACCCGATATACTGCTATAGTGCTCAAGTCTTTCCTCAGTCCGTGATTGACAATGCTGCCTGCCTTATCCATACTTTTGTGATGTCCATCATTGTCTGAGAATAACCTGTTCATAATTGTATTGTATTACGTAGTATTATTTATAGGCACCTCACACATCATTTTGCATTTCAGGGGCCTCCGAACAAAGATAAGACTTGTGAGACTTGCGGCGGAAAGTTCAAAGATTGTCCTGGTCACTATGGATACTTGAAACTTGCGTTACCAGTTTACAATGTTGGATATCTGCCGATCATTTTGGTCATTTTGAAGTGTATTTGCAAGGTACATGATTTTGGTCTATTAGTATTGCTGTAATTGTTTAAACCATATTACATTTCTTAGATGATGTATTCTCTGTTACGGTTCTATTACATCCATTTGATCTGTACTAGTTCATATTCAGTACATATTTACAACTAAAAGAAATAAACACAACCTCAATAACTTAAAAGGATTGTACTTCATGACGTTGATGGACCTTTTGAGCACAGCTGCATTTGTTTTGAAGAGTATTCTTTAACAGGTGATGGTTAATCTCTATGGTCACTTGCCTTTTAGCTTTTTGCATATACCTTCTTCACACCTATGATCTATACGGAAAACACACCATTAATCTTCTTCATTGAGCCTGGAATTTGGCTGGTTTACCTCCTAATCGCGTAAGAGGTTCTTCTCGCCAAACTCGATCACCCCCTTTTTCTTCCATTAATCTTCTTCATTGAGCCTGGAATTTGGCTGGTTTACCTCCTAATCGCCTTTAGGGTGTAAACTCTCCTATTTTTAAGCTCTTTTTTGGGATTTTTGGACTGGTTTTAGCTAAGAACAAAGTCGGCGTTACTGTTCACGAAGCCGGGTCAACGCCCCTTTAGGCGTGATTCTCTTGTGATTCTTCCCTTCGAAGGTGTTTTTTGGATTCCCCTAGGTGTGTGGATCAAGCATATATGCTCCTTTGAATCATCAAGGAACCTTGAATTTCAGTCATCTTCACCAACGGTTCTCTCCATTTCTGTTCAACAAAGCTAAAAACAGAAACTGTACACATGGTTACTTAGAGATTTTGGTGGCTCTGTTTTCTGATATCGGCTGGCAATGATATAAGCTATAATCGATGAACAAAAACAAGGCAGGGAAGGGGGAAGCTACGCCCAGACTTACCCGGTCTAGGGCAACGGGTTTTGAGTTGCTGAAAAACATGGAAGAGGAGTTCCCTGCACTCACTGTACCAGACTTACCTGCGGCTGATGTAGAGGAAATTGCAGGTCAATCTGCTGCTAAAACACCAGCTTCTGTCCAGGTTTCCAAGGTTACTAGGTGTGTTGCAGCCACTTCAGTACCTGCGGTTACTGCTGTGAAAAACACTGCTGCTAAAACTCCAACTGGGCAGGTTGTAGCTAAGGAACCAAATGCTAAGGGGGGGTTTACTGCTGCAGCAGTAAATGAAAGGGGGAAACTGATTGAAAAAGCAACTTCCGAACCTTGGAATGCTTTGTTTAAGGACAATCGAGACCCAAGGCATGGGATCAAATTAAGGTTTATACCTCCTAAAGGTGAAACTTTGGATTTTGGGGATCGTATTTTACCTTCCATGATTGAAATGTGGGGCTATTGCCTAGTTGGACACTTCACCGGAAAATTCCCCGGTCTTAAAGCGGTTCATGCTCTTAAAGCTACTTGGGGTGTTAAATGTCTTGTGAGGTCCCACAAAAAGGGTTGGATAATTTTTAAGTTTCAAAATGAAGAGGATAGATCAAAAGTACTTCTTGGGGGACCGTACACCGTGTTTGGGAAACTCTTAATGCTCAAGGAACTTTCAGAAAACTTTTCGTTTGAAGATGAAGAATTTCTAAAAGTACCAATTTGGGTTAAGTTTCATGATTTACCAATGCAACTATGGAATGATGAGGCAATGAGTGAGGTGGCTTCCATGGTTGGGGTTCCTATAACCACGGATAAAATCACCCAAGAAAGGATCAACAACGACTTTGCTAGAGTGTTGATAGAGGTCGACGTCTCGAAGCCACCACCACTCTCGTTTCCTATACGACTACCTTCCCAAAAGGTATTCAAGCAAGGTGTGGTGTATGAAACTTTTCCTAGTTATTGCTTTCATTGCAAAGAATATGGGCATCACCCATTTATTTGTAAGAAGTTATCAAAAAGTGGGAGTGGGGTAAACATAGAAAAGGAAAAATTTGATGTTGCAGAAAAAAAAATTGATGAGGTTGATGCTGCTACTGCTCGGGCAGAAACTGCCCTGGGGACTGACCCGCCCGGGCTGCCTCCTTACCCGACCGGGTCACAGGGGAAATGTACTGCACAGATCCCAAACCCGCCCGGGTCTTCCCAAAACCCGCCCGGGTTCCAGCGGCAACCTGCTTCTGCAGCTTCTGCCGGGGGTGCGGCTCGCGCTCCCAATGTTGTCCCGCCATCCAAAACTGTTGATAAGGTTTCCGAGGCCGGTTTGGAAGATGCCGAAAGGGTTGTGATGCATGAAAAAGATTTGAAGTTAAATGACGTTGTCATCAAATGTGCGGTCATAAACGGTAAGACACTCAAGCTAGCTGTGAAACCATTTAAGTTCGTGCACGCGAGTGTGATTAGAGTGGATACCTCCCTTCGACTTACAGACGATTTGGATAGAAAAGGCCTTACTTTCACAGCCAATTGTCTCGAGGGGATGCCGGGAGTTACTAAGAAAAAAGGTGAGGTTTGTTTCGACTCAAAGTTCACTTATCCTTTCCGAGCTTTCTTTGGACTTTAGATTAGGAACTCCTAATATTCTGTTGTAGTAGCTTGATTTTTTGTGTGAACTTTATTTATGATCCTACTGTATTTGGGTCTAAAATGTTGATTTGTGAGGAGGGAATGTTTGATTTTGTGGTATCCTATTTACTGGGATATGCACTTTGCTTGTAACATTGAATTGTTATTTTTCGGTCTCTAATATACTTACATATTATCGAAAAAAAAAAAAAACACACCATACTTGTCACGACGGAAAGGCGAGTTGCGGCGCCAGCGGATTGTCATATCGCCTAGGCGACAATTAGGCGACTAGTCGCACATCGTATAATATATTATACTACATATTTAATTAAGTAATTAATTTTATTGAATTTATAATTAAAAATATGTTATACATAATATATTACTAATTAGATTGTATATTACCTAGAATTGAAACCAACGATTAATAATTGAAAGAAAGGTTTATTAATGGGAATTAAGAGTAAAAAGGTCTATAAAAAATTAAACTACATAAAGTATGTATATCATACATTTGTATATGTAATTATATACTTCGTATATAATACAAAGTAGTTTTTATTAGTAGTCCATATCAGTAGATTCCTACTTTAAATTTTACCGAGCATATAAGTAGATTCTCCGAACCTCTGTCTGTTGCGTGTGTATATAATATATGTAGTATATACACATAATTACATATATACAGAAATAAACAGCTTAATTAAAAAAAAGTCTGCTAGACTAGAAGAATTGGCTAGGGAGTGGTAGTTCTTCTGTTTCCTTGAGTTTGTGTCTCTGCGTCTGGAGTTAGACGGTCTCTTTGAAGTTGAATGATGGCAATCGATCAAGTGTAAGATTACTTTGGGCTTTGTTTTTAATTAAAAGCTAGGTAGCATGGAAACGGGAAACGTCAGAAACGCCATTTTCCAAAAATACAGGACACAAAACGTGGGGAAAACGCTCAATTCTTAAAAGGATAAGGGTTATTTTATAAATATTATTTATATGTTTATATATATATTTTATATGTTTTTATATATATATTGACACACACATATGTACAATACATTCCACACAAGATTATTTCATCCTAAAAATTAATAATAATTCAGCACAATTAATAATAATTCAGCACATTGAAGTGTAAAATTATTGAAATCTTATTACATGAAATTATTGAAATCTTAGTCAAAAACAAAACATTAAACACAACATGCATAAAAACATATTAAATTGTAGCGTAGACATGTTCCACGACATCAACATCATTAAATAAAAAGACACGTTCAAGCTCCGGTTCATCCAATGATAGATTTGCAAACTTAAGAACACCAACATCTTCCAAGCCTGCAAATTGATCTCCACCAACATCCCACATCTTAGTGTTCTCATCTTCATATTGGGAATGAACACCAAATCTTCTGCACGTTTGGGATTTAATTTGTTCCGTCTTAGTGAATGGATAAAAGAATAAGAACTCCAATTTCATTCACAACACAAAGAAGAGCTAGGTTGCCCAAGCACTTTAAAGGCCAACTTTTGGAGTAATTGTGCACCTGATCCATACACTGCCCACCACTTTCTAGGATCTGTATCACACATAGCAACAATACAATCTGGATCACTAAACGGACCAATCTTCAGAGAGAAATTAACATATTCATCAATAGCTTTAACACGCTCTTCAGAAGGGAAAATGTGCCTAAAACACTTGTTTCTCTCTAAAGATAGTTCATTATCCATATGTGGAGGTACTCTCCTAACTCCCCCTTGGATCCATTTATCACTATAATACCTAGGGTTTAAACAAACAAGTAGATATAATATATAATTGTAGAAGTGAAATAAATAGTTAAATAGATTAATTAAATGAACTAAGCAATGAACTAAGCAATGAAGCGGGGTACTATTCTTTGTCCAACGTTCAACTAGAATGCGATGAACAACATAGTAAAAGGGAGAATATTCACCAAAAGTTTTTCCTTCATGGTGAAAGATAGTCATTCTCACCTTTTCTATCATTGAGTCCCACATCTCATAAATCAAATTTAGTCATGGTTTGTCAGTATCACAAATTCTAATCATATCATAGATTCATAGATAGGACCAGTGAACTGCAATATGTAACATCTTGATATTCTGTCCATTCATCACTCAAAACCATTGTTTGTAAAGCACGTCTCAAAAGTTTAAACCTCTTGATCCATTCATCACTCAAAACCATTGTTTGTAAAGCACGTCTCAAAAGTTTAAACCTCTTGAGCATCACAATGATTGTTGCAAAGCAAGTATCAGCAATTGAAAGCAACTTCAAAGTACTAAATCGGCTGAACATAGAGAGCCTCATGGAATGGTTCATTATAAAATTATGATGTGCACCGCATCTCCATGAACTTCTGTGATCCAATGACACTCTTCATATGTTTCAGCATTTGTTAACACATTTTTCGCCGCACAAATGTTCTTTAAGGCAAGATTAAGAGTGTGAACAACACATGGAGTCCAATAAGTATGTGGAAATAGACCTTCAATAATTTCTCCAGCTGACTTGCAATTTCTAGCATTATCGGTGATCACTTGAATGACTTTGTGATGACCTATCTCATTAATAACATCTGTCAGTATGTTAGCAATGAAATGCTTATCTTTTACCTCCCCTGAACAATCGACAGCTTTGATAAACATTGGCCCAGCTTCACAAACAACCATTACATTAATCAGTGGCCTCCTTTGCGGATCACTCCATCCGTCACTAACTATGATCACACCTTTTTCATACCAAGTGGTTTTTATAGGTTCTAAACACGTCTCCACGTGCGCTTTCTCCCGTTGGAGTAATGTAGTCCTCAACTTGTTATGACTAGGAGGTACATATCCACCCAAATTATGATTAGCAGCAAAAGTATATGAGCTAATATAGTATGGGTTTCTTGCAAAATTAAAAGGAATACCTCCAGTGAAGAACATCCTCGCAATCTCTTCATCAAGTTGATTCCTACTTTGCAAATCAAGTGCTCTAGCATTGGGCGAGTCATCAACTCTTCTTCTCTTTAACATCTCTAAACAACTGGGTTTGTTTATAGATAAATAAGTTGAGTTGCTTCGCGTGCTGCTAGTAGGCAAGGATACTCGCTTAGGTTGTGAACCAGCAATGTGTTTAGGCAACATCTTCTTCAAGATTTTTCATTTCAACAATACTCTCCACCCCAACCTTTGGACATACAACAATTCCTTTTGAAGGTAGTTTGAGTAAATGAGCTCTCACTGTAGTGTATGTCCCCTGTTTTTGGCTACCACAAAAGTTGCAAATCCATTTCACATTCCCACCTCCATCGCCTGTTTTTTGGAGTCTTTTAACAAACTGCCACAAAGGACTACTCGCATCCTCTTTAAATTGTGTCATGTTATTAATACTGTCCTCCATCACTAAGAAATTAAAAATAATCTAAATTATACAACTACACAATAAAATATTAGAAATCAAATGAATAATATGCTGAAATCCTGAATTGATTTATACGAATTTAAAATAATCTAAATTATACTAGTACAAAATAAAATATTATAAAGTAATGGGAAAAATAAATAAAATATCCTGAACTTTCCCTAGGTGTGAACTCCCTACCCTATACTTGTCTTGTTTAAAAATGCACCCTCTACTCTTTGGGTTTGTTATACCGGTATCCTATCTTAATTTTTTTGATTTTATTTTCAAATTTACTACTTAATTAAATAGATTCAGTTGGCCAAAGAGTCCACGTTAGCTTACCCCCGGAACTTCTCGCTCTCTCAATCTACCCACGCGGCCACACATATCTTCATTGGATTGGAACTCATGTCACAATTCACCGGAAGCCATGAACGATTACAGCTAGCCCTGGACAACGAAGACGATTAGGCTTCTTGCGGTGCTTTCTGTTGTCCCCCAGACCTTTCTCTCTATTCCGGCTCACCTTCGGCTTCCTCTCCCAAAATCTTGCATCTTCGTCTTCTTCCAAGGCCGGAGCTTGGAAGATGTCGATACTTGAATCTTCGTCGGCTTCCAAGGAGGCTTCTTCAAAATCCCAGATTAAAGACATTCAGTTTCTGTCGGCTCGTTGTTTAAATCCTCGCCAGTTTCATTTTCTCATGTGATTCGCCTCTCAGATACGCCGGGTTTTGCTTTTTTAGTTGGGATATGCATCGTCTTCTCTTTTATGTAATCTCAAAGCTTGGAAGATGGAAGTTATGTGAACAAGGGTTTTGAACCATTGCCGTTGGCTTTCCAGATTTAGGAAGCACAAATGCACAAAATAAGAATGGCCAACGTGGAAAGCTTATTTGGATCACTACAAATTAAGGGTACAAGAATCTCAACTTATAATAGTTGGAGGTATTTTTTTAAACAAAACAAGTATAGGGTGGGGAGGTCACACCTATGGAAAGTTCAGGGTATTTTGTTTATTTTCCCCTAAAGTAATTGAATAATATGATGAATTGAGTTACAACTTACACGAACTAAACATTTTAATACTTTAACAAAATATAACATTTTTTGTGATATAAAGTAAGGCTGCCAACTGCCAAGCTCTAGGAAAAATTTAAAATTGCCAAGTGCCACTTTAGTGGAGTACACATCATCTAAACTATTAATTTCACTTTAAATCTACACCCACTTTTTGTGAATTTGCACCCACTATCATTTTACACAATTAAATACGAAGTATGTAGGTAGTGGGCTAGGAATTAATGAAGGGGATTGTGATTCGATTGAAGCCTATGTTTACAAAAACTCAATTCTTACAAGCTCAAAACTATATACCCTACGACCTATTAAATACGACCCACCTGTTGATGACGACGAACAAAAGAGATTACAATTATGATTTTCAGAGTCTGTGAAAGTTACCTGTTCAAGGGGAAGACCTCTGCTGAAGCTGACGGTGGTGAAGTCAGCGATTGCCGCTTAAGCCGACGAACGGGGATGACTGTTGAGTGTAGGTTTGAAAAGAGAAGACCAGAGGTTTTACTTCTACCCAATCATTTTTGGGCTTCTCGATTGTGAAAGGGCCCTATTTCTTTTCGAAACTCTGTTTTTTTAAGGGAAACACGATTCCAAATTTGTCTATATAAAAAGATGGCCAAGAGACGCGTTTTTGGCGTTTCTGCTGTTCGGAAACGTTGGAAACGTTTCCAATACGGGGAAACTCTACCCCCTAGCCGTTTCCGTGGTTCTTAGATTAAAAGTCTAAATTCTTAATCAAGTTAAATTACTCATCGCCAAACCATGGTGCATGATGTTTGCCGATGATATTGTATTGATTGATGAGACACAAGCAAGTCTTAAAGCAAAGTCGGAAGTATGACGACAAACATTGGAGAACAAGGGTTTCAGACTAAGTCGGAGCAAGACAGAGTACATGGAGTGCAAGTTTGGTCGAGGTAGAAGCAGCGGTAATAGTGGAATTACTCTAGACGGTAAGGATATACCGGTCAGTGATATGTTCCGTTACTTGGGCTCCATAATTCAGGACGGTGAGCTAGATGGAGATGTATCCCATAGAATCAAAACAGGGTGGATGAAGTGGAAGAGTGCGTCAGAATTTCTATGTGATAGAGGTATGCCGACCAGACTGAAGGGTAAATCTTATAAGATAGCAATAAGGCTTGCATTGTTGTATGGCGGAGAGTGTTGGGCGGTGAAACAATGTCATATTCAAAAGATGAGTGTGGCAGAGATGCGCATGCTGCGTTGGATGTGTGGACATACGAGGAAGGACCGCGTGAGAAATGAGACAATCAGACAAAGGGTGGTTCGGTCACGTGCGTAGAAGACCGAATGATGCACCTGTTAGACGTGTTGAGATGTGTGGAGAAGAGCCAGGGAAGAGAGGGAGAGGAAGACCCAAAAAGACGTGATATGCTTTGGGTTGGATGAGAGTATGACTTTGGAGAGAGCAAAGTGGAGGGCGGCGGGTATTCGTGTGGAGGAGTGATCTCGTATTATTATTATTATTGTTATTGTTATTGTTATTGTAATTGTTATTGTTATTGTTATTGTTATTGTTATTGTTATTGTTATTGTTATTGTTATTGTTATTGTTATTGTTATTGTTATTGTTATTGTTATTGTTATTGTTATTGTTATTGTTATTGTTATTGTTATTGTTATTGTTATTGTTATTGTTATTGTTATTGTTATTGTTATTGTTATTGTTATTGTTATTGTTATTGTTATTGTTATTGTTATTGTTATTGTTATTCTCTTATTCTCTTATTCTCTTATTCTCTTATTCTCTTATTCTCTTATTCTCTTATTCTCTTATTCTCTTATTCTCTTATTCTCTTATTGTCTTATTGTCTTATTGTCTTATTGTCTTATTATTGTCTTATTGTCTTATTATCTTATTATTGTCTTATTATTATTATTATTATTATTATTATTATTATTATTATTATTATTATTATTATTATTATTATTATTATTATTATTATTATTATTATTATTATTATTATTATTATTATTATTATTATTATTATTATTATTATTATTATTATTATTATTATTATTATTATTATTATTATTATTATTATTATTATTATTATTATTATTATTATTATTATTATTATTATTATTATTATTATTATTATTATTATTATTATTATTATTATTATTATTATTATTATTATTATTATTATTATTATTATTATTATTATTATTATTATTATTATTATTATTATTATTATTATTATTATTATTATTATTATTATTATTATTATTATTATTATTATTATTATTATTATTATTATTATTATTATTATTATTATTATTATTATTATTATTATTATTATTATTATTATTATTATTATTATTATTATTATTATTATTATTATTATTATTATTATTATTATTATTATTATTATTATTATTATTATTATTATTATTATTATTATTATTATTATTATTATTATTATTATTATTATTATTATTATTATTATTATTATTATTATTATTATTATTATTATTATTATTATTATTTCCCCTCATCTTTTCTTCTTCTTGTTTTTTATTCTTTTATCCTTATAAATAAACATTATTTTTATCCTTTTTATTTTATCATTTTTAAGTATATTCATCCCGTTTTATATTATCTTTTTTATAATAGCTTATTTTTTAATCTTTATTTTCTTACTTTTCCTTTTGGTGGTGATATCATGTATCGATTCATGTTATCCGACCCCAATATCTTTTGGGACTAAGGCTTGGTTGTTGTTATTGTACTCATCGTCAAACCACGCCTGGACAACACCTAGATGATGCCTAGGTTGCCTATTCTTATTCCGACGAGTCGAGGCAACCCAGTGACCACTCCTTAGCTCCAGGACGCCTAGGCGACACCATGACAAGTATGAAACACACTCATCAGCTTGGAAGAATATCTTTGCATGTTCATGAGTTGTTTTTTGAATGGATTCTTGGTTAGTCATCCTCCCGTGGCCCAAAAATACCCTGTAATAGAACTTTTTTTGCCCCCCAAAACACTTTGAATTTAGTTAACCAACAAAGGGGAGGACGAATATTCGCGTTCTATGTTTAAATAAATTGAGGGCGAGAGTTGTTCCCTCGGATCTATGTTTTCTCTGTTTCTCTCTCTCCTTTTAATTGCAATATCATGTATTGATTCCTGTTAGGCGATCCCAAAATCTATCCGACTTGAATTACAAGTTATCATTCTTAATTGATTTCATTAAATCGACTGAACGTTACTATTAAGATCAATATACGACGCTTGTTTTGTATTGACCAATAGTAACGTCTATTAAGGAACACGTCTCGTTATTAATAGCTATACTAAATGAATTGGAGTTTCTCCACAGTTAAGTATTCAAGAGGGATAATTAAGGTAGTAACAATGATCAACGGGCAATTCACTAACTGGAAATTTGCAAAACCAAGGTTGTTTACCTTTGATATTTTAATGTATTCATCTTAGTGTTTTAATTAGTTTCTCGTTTATCACAATATCCAACGCCTCCGTTCCATTTACTTTGATTTCTTACATTTAGGGGGTGCTTGGACCTGATTCTCAAAACCGATTCTGCTCCTTCAGGGAGTAGAATCAGAAGCTGGAGTGTTTGGGAAATTCCAGAAGCGCTTTTGGGGCTCTAATTTACTCCCAGAATCAGTTTTTTTAGAAGTTGGGGGTACCCGCTTCTGAAAACTGATCCTGATTCTGCTTCTGCTTTTAAAAAAGAAGCAGAAGCAGAATCAGTTCCAAACACCCCATTAGACACGTAAAAAATACTTTTACCTACTCTACTACGCTATACTACAATATTAAACTTACTAGTAAATTTATTTTGAGGCACACGACTTTAGTGCCATCACACTTCCATTGTGTACATTCTTTCTATCTTAATTTATTTAGTATTGTTTGATATATGCTTAAAAACATTCCACATGTGATATATAAATAGCTCTTACAACAACATTACTCCAGTGCCGCAAAGGTTCCCACGGTCTACGGTGGGGTAAGGGGGGGTCGGATGTGGGCAGCCTTACCCCTGTACTAACAAAGAAGCGCACATGGTTTATTGAGGCATTTTGCTTTACTCTATCATATTTCAAAGAAAAAAAAAAGTGAGCCTTTGGCTCCATTGGAAGTGATAAAAATCTGAACATGTGATACATAAATAACTAATGGATTAGTAAAATCGTGTCTATACGTGAGTTCGAAATTGTGTATGTGAGGCCTGCATGAATAACACCATCATTCATACCATCATTACCCCAGTGCCGCAAAGTCTCCTACCTATGGTGGGGTAAGGGGCGGTCGTATGTACGCAACCTTACCCCTATACTAAAGTTCAAAGAGACTGTTTCCGGATGTCCTAAAGTGAAAATCGTGTCAAAAATTGGATAGACTGACTGCTACTTCATATCAAAGAAGCACAGACAGTTTAGTGAGCCATTTTGCTTTATTCCATAATATTCCCAAGCCAAAAAATAGTGAGTCTTTGGCTCCATTGCAAATGATGGTAAATGAGGCCTGCATGAATGTGCTACATAATTTAATACACACAACACTATTTTTGAGAGTTAAGGCATTGGTTATACCATTGTAAAGACGTAAAGAATTATAGTAGATTGCACAATATGTTGATCATGTAATATGAACACAATGTAGGTGTTGTTGCTTCACATAAGAATAGGAAGCCATTTTGCTTGATTTGTTTGTGAGGGCCTTAGTGGTATATATAACTAGTAGGATAACTTACTGGTTGAATGCATGATGACGGTAATAGAGCATCCATGATTTTTTTTGGCCAAAATAGTAATAGACTTTACAAGAGTAATAGATTTTTTTGAGGACTTTGAATTTGATAGAGTGTTATCAAATATAAAATTATTGCTGGAAGCGTACCGTGAAGATTAACAATTATTTTTAATGTATTTTACATGTCATTATTATGAATCTCAAACTTGTACATGAACACCATGGTGGGTTCTATGGCGCATGAGGAAATTCTGTGCGGAATTTCGATAGTGTTTCACAAAATGATGTATGGCCTCGATTTTTTTTGAGCATATTCCCCTTATTTTTCAGGGTTGTTCTCGCATTCTTCTCGAAGAAGATGACCGCCGATACTTCCTAAGAAAGATGAGAAGTATGAAGTTGGATCATTTGAAGAAGAGTGAGGTGCTAAAAGAAGTTAATAAAAAGTGTAACGCCATGACAGCAACTCACAAGATGAAATTATGTTCCAGATGCGGATACATCAATGGTACAAGCACTTTTTTTGCTTTTATGTAATTATTATTATGGCATTATGACTATGTGGCCATGTTGGTAGTGCTACTACTAATTTGCACGGCAGTACACACAGATCCCCCACCAAACTTGGTTTGTGCTTTTGTGGTATGAGCCTTATGTTTGGATTTTCTTTGCATTTTACATTATGAAAGTGTTTGGACATTAAAGGCGGGATACCTTGTAACACCCCGCCTTGTAGGGCCCAAGGTGGTTATTCATAAATTCCATCCAAGTCTTTAGTACTGTTCTCACAAATCATCACAAATCTTTATCGCACACTTTATTGTCACTCGTGTACGCCTTGAGAAACTTCTAAGGGGCCACCCATTCCAAGACTACTCCCGTGCAAACACACTTAACTTAAAATTCTTAGCTGATGGACTTCCTTAGAAGGAGATGCACCTTGTTGGTGTGAATATTTCTTTTTAAATCTTTTAAGGTAATCTCAAGTGTTACAAACACCCCCATTTAAGTAATGTCCTTGTTGCGGCCATAAGCCAATTCAATTTCAATCATATCCCGACATCCAAAGGATCACACTGTTGCACACTGTTGTAGGCTTGCTCTGATATCATCTGTAACACCCCGCCTCGTAGGGCCCGATGTGGTTACTCCAAAATGCGATCTAGACCTCTACTATTGTTCTCACAAACCATCACAAGCCTTTATTGGGCACTTTGTCCTCACTCGTGCGCGCCTAAGGGTCACCCATCCCAAGACTACTCCTGTGCTTAACTTAGATTTTTTAGTTGATTTGCTTCCCAAGACTAGACCCATCCTAAGAGTTTTTAGTACGAGTAGTACTATTAATCCTTTTGAATTAGACTCAAGTGTTACATACCCATCAAATAAAAAAAATTGAAATTTGATTCAAGTAAAACATGATTTTTGTCCCATCCTTGTTCACTTGTAATCGTTTAGTACATCTTAATCACTCATGGCATGCAAGTAAATATGACCCTAAACTTTACTAATTGGTTGCATTGTTGTGACCATTAGGGTTCTCATTGTAGATGTGCATATTTGTATATTCATTCTCATTTCTTTGAAGTTGTAAATAAATACATGTGCTTTTTGTGCTCAATCAAGAACCTACACACCATTTGTAGAATTAAACTGTCAAGAGACATGCTTGCAACCATTTTATGAAATCGGGATTGACATCAGTTCATGCGTGACAACGATGTACTAACCATCTAAATATGAGTATTGAGCTGCCAAATACAAAAAGTTTCTCCTTGTATGAATTTACGTTTTGTGTCTATTTTGGCATATAAGGTACATAATATTGCAAAATGGGTCTGGGTGCTGGTTTCTCTCTTTTTAGTAATTTGGTCTGATTGTTGGAACCATTTCGTAGCTTTACTTTTCCTATGGTTGGTGTATGGTACTACATATTCGATGATTAAAGTGGATTGGAAGATAGTCTAGGTAACCTTTTCAAGAAACACAATTGAGTGCTTGAACATTTTATTTGAGCTGTTTTTAATCAATATTATTGGTCATCCATTGTATATATTCTAGGAATGGTAAAAAAGGTATCTATGAAGATCACCCATGAGTATGGGAGCCTTTTGTTAGACGAGTGTCATAATGCTGTTGCTGGCAAGAAGGATGTCAAGGGATCAATTAATGTGCCCCCAGAACTCGATTCAAAGACAATTTACTCCCTCTTCATGAGAATGACAGATGAGGTAGTGCTTTGACGTCCACTATTTGTATTTTCTTACGTTTTGTGTTTATACTGCAGTTAGTTTCTCTTTATATTCTTTAATTGTAGATTTTTCCTTGAAATTTGTTTTGAACTGGCGCAACTGCCATATTACATCTAACCTATTACCTGATCTTTATTTTTTATTTTCTTGTGTAGTATGGGGATAATATACTTGTAACATGCTCAAATCATACTGATTACTTTTAATTTCTACTTCTCAGTTTTCTCGTCAATACCCTTCGGCAAAAAAGCAATAGCCATTAAGACTAGTATTCTCAGTTTGGTGTATGAACTACACAAAGAAATTACAGAAGCTTCCGGAATAAAAGTGAGAAAATAACAATATTTAAGAGACAAGATTTTAGGAAAATGTGAATGCATACACTCTCAAGATGTTCATACAAGAGTGAATAGTAACCTGAATCCAACGCCTGTTCAAATAGTTATTTTAATAGAAGTGTCAACTAAAAATTCTCCTTCATATTTCAATAGGATACGTAGCAAAATGCTACTCAAGAGTACAATCAGGTAAATATATGAAGTTGAATACAAACCCAAAACTCAACACAACAAATGATGTTAATTCTGTTTAGCATTATGTCGTAGTCTATATCTAGTCCTTTCTGTTTTCTAATTGTAGTTCCTTTTCTTTCCCCATTGTGTGTAGGACTGTGAATTGCTTTATCTCAATGACAGGCCAGAAAAATTTCTTGTTACATGTATTCCTGTGCCACCAATGGCAATCTGCCCATCTGTCTTGTTGGATGGAGTAAAAAGGTTCGTTTCGCTAAAAAAATAAATATGGGATCTACTAATGAGGATTTAAAGTTATTAGAGAAAATAGCTTTAAATCATACAAACTAGGGATAAGGGTCTTACAAAAAAATGTCAAATAAGGCCTTATGTAAGATGTTCTGTCCGGCCGACACCATTTAGGGCGGTTCCCGATTGAATTTTGTGATGAATTTTTTTGAGCATCTTATTCATTAAGTCTAGTTTAGTCATACCAAATTTGAACTAAAAATTCAACCTGTAAGACATTCAAATAAATTCTTGAAGATAACTTTGCTTTTAATTGCACAGTTATTTTCAAGAATTCATTTGAATGCCTTCCCGATTGAATTTTTAGTTCAAATTTGATATGAGTAAACTAGACTTAATGAATAAGATGCTCAAAAAATTTCATCGAAAAATTTCACCGGGAACCACCCCAAAAAGCGCCAGCCGTACAAAGCATACTATATATGGCCTTATTTGACATTTTTTTGTAAGTTCGAGACCCTATCTGACCCTTATCCCTACAAACTATCTTCCCATGAATCAAGAATAATATATACAGTGGAATTACTTCTTAATTATACCAACTATTTGAATAAATAACGGAATGATATTCAACCATTTTTCACTTCAGATTTAGTTAATTTACGCATCAAAAACTCATATCAAAATATCCAATAAGTGATCCTATCACCTAATATCATTTATTTGATGGTTTGATATTAGTTTTTGATGCCTTAAATGACTGCATTACTTGTCAAAAGTGGCTCCATTCTATTTTTGTTATATATTCTAATAGTTGGTATTACTAGAAATCATTTCCAAAGCATTATTATTGGTTAATGAATGATAGTTGGTACTATAGGTTATTTTCCCAAGTTATTATTGTGCACATTCTTTGGTTGAGGGAATAGGTGTTTCATTGAAACCCATTTCATGTGGCTAAAAACTTCTGAACATGGTTAGTTATCCCCCGTCCCACTTGAATCTTGAAACTTGCTTTTGGCACATTGTTTTTGGAAAGGAATTTTTAATCACTATTTTCCTATGTTGCCCTTCTTTTTATACTCAAATTTCAGTATTCCACCCTCTTCGACTCTAGCAATTACTTCTTGAAACTCTTTGGCAAGATTCAAAATTGTGTGTTACGTGGTCGTGGAGTTTTTTTTATTATTGCATACTGCGTAAGCCTCATTGCGCAATGAGGCGTAAAATTTATATGTGTGTGTGTGTGTTTGTGTTTATAGAACAATTAAAACTAAAGGAAAGCACTCATCAAAAGCCACCAAAATGTAATATAAAAACAAATTATGATGAGGAAATAATCCTAGTAAAGTATTATATTCAAAATAGGGATCATCACCACTAGCATTTCCTCGATCATCATCCACATCAAGGTCAAGATCAAAAGCGCTATCATAACCCTCCACGGCCTTTTTCACAACCCGTTCCACTCTCACAACCAACTTCTACACTTTAAATGATGGACACACCCAAAACTAGCTCCACCACCACCGTCTACATCACAATCATCATCACTAACACCACCACCACCACTAGGATTCATTTCATCTTCTTCAACTACCCATTCATCGCTTGATGGAATCTCATCCATCACTAAATGATCGATGTCTTCTTTAAGTGATGCTTTCTTCATCCATTTTGTCTTTAATCTCTTGTTATACATCACAAATACCAACTTGTCAGATTGCTCGCATGAAGACGATCCTTCTCATGGCATGTATGTACAAGTATATTAGTTAAACTTTGTTATTTACTTGATTGATTCATATTTGTACATGTCAAAAGTTTATACATATTCGTATGTACATATGGATTCAATATTTATATAGCATTTTGATAACCGACTAAACGTGCTCTTGTTACATTCACAAAGAGACAATGAACATGTCAGAGTCAAAACTCTTACAGCAAAAGCCATTAATTCTGGACATCTGGAGTTTGATTCCCATATTGACACCACCAATCCACTGCAGTCATTTAAATAAAATTATGATGAATACTAAAAATTCAAGTTTAATGAATAACCTTTTCATGCCAGGGCTACACCGCTTCATGACCAAAGAATAGCCTTCTCAAATGGCATTCATCCATTTGCAAATCTATCTTCTCCCGAACCGCGAGTTCTAGAAACATTTTTGCCACATCCCCACCAAGGTTGTTAAAATCGCGATTCAAATTGTAGAATCGTACGATTTTACAATCCAAAAGCACCAAACCGATTTGAATCGTTTACAAAATCGGAATTTAAAAAGTCATAAAGAAATCGTTTTGAAATCACTGAAATCGTATTCACGATTGTATACGATTTCCCGATTTAATTTGACTTGGCTCGCACCAAACCCAGCCGAGTAACTCTGGCCAGTCATGCAACCTAAAGTGCTACCCTGCGTGCTTGCTTGATATACTCAGATTCGCTTTATATAGATAAGGGAGGGGGGGATTCGCTATGCTCTTCCGGTGTGGGAAACTTTGATTTTAGAAGAATAAAGAAGCTTTTTTGGAAAAAAATCAAAACCAGTCAACGACGGGTTTCGAACCCACCTCCAACTATCTTGAATAAAAATGTGCTCATTGCTTAACCAATCCACCATAAGCAACTTTATATTCTAACGTAACTATTGCCATGATTTTATTTGAAAAAACTATTGCCATACTTGATACTTGTTCAATTCTCTCCAAACCAAACATAGTTACACTTATATAGTCTTGAAAAACATATATGGAGTATTTATTTTGACACTTGATTAGAACATCATTATTATTTTCGTGAAAATTTTGTTCTTTGAGTATATAACATTACTTTGTTTTATTAACATTATTTTGTTTGGTTACATTATTTTCTATTATTTTTTTGTACACTCTAATTAAGACATCATTGTATAACTTAAACTTATTATGATTTCACTTAATAATGTTATATTTTGAATTTCCTTTAATCGTTTTATTTAATATTTTTAATAATTTTATATACTTATTTTGTAAAATCTTACAATTTATGATTCGATTTTACTATTCGATTTTTAAATCCTTGTTTCGATTAGATCCAAAAATACGATTTTAACAACCTTGATCCCCACCCAATTTTTTATCTTTCTCTTCTTTTGCACGAACCATAGAATCATATAAGAATCTCGTATCGGGAACCTTTTCTGCATATGGAAATCTAAGTTGTTAATTTAAGTTGTTTCAATGGCATTTTTATACTACCCAAGGCCCTGGGGCCTAGGTTGTGTGGCTTGTCAGATGCACCCGATTATTAAAACACGCTAGGTGAACTAATCTAATGACTGCGGGATAGATAAGGACAATATGTTTTGCAGCATTTGCTCCGTTATACAAATGAACCTGCAGCATTGATGACTCATGACTCATGTTCTTTTTTTTTGTATTGAATAATACTTTAACCATCATGCCTCATTGTGATATTCATATTAGCGGAAATAATTTACGAAGATTGAGACTTGGAAATTTATCATGTTATTACTTTGTAAGAAGGGGAACCTTGGCACACTGGTTAAGGTGTTACCATGTGACTGGGAGATCACGGGTTCAAGTCTTGAGAGCAGCCTCTTGTCCAAATTTGACAGGGGAAGGCTTGATCCTTATACACCCTTGTGGTGGGATTCTTTTCCGGACCCTTGCCTTGTGGGCATGCCTTCGGGCATCGATTGCCCTTTATTATTCCTTTGTAAGAATGTTGAAGCGTACCCGATGTAAAAATATGCCACTTTTTTTTGCATGAATGTATTGTGTTAAAGAAATCAAGTGACACTACATTTCATGTAAGTGACCTTGCCGACCTGATGTAGTTGGGATTATGTTGATGGTCGTGATGATGAACCTGCTATTACATCAACATACAATACTATAGATGAATGCTAATGTCAATTTCATTTCGTGAATGTAAGATAGTTTAATGATATCCTGTGTCTTTGTGTCTTTATGTTGCAGTGAAGAGAATGACATTACAGTGAGGCTGAAATGGATTATCGAAGCAAATTTAAGTCTTCAAGAAGAAATATCTAATGGAAGCCATCCTAGCAAAACTCTGGCATGTCATTATTTTTATGAGTTTCTCTCTTATTCAAGGTTAGTAGAATTTTCACCTGGATGCATTTCTTAGTCGAACCCTTTAAAAGGGTATACAATATTATGGCATAGACTAAAGTCCATGGAGATCACTTGTGATCAATGTAAATTAAAATAAAGGTTCCAAAAATGAAGAGCCTTCTTAATCAATTTTCATCTCACCCTATATTAAAATAAAGGTTCCAAAATTGAAGAGCCTTCTAATGTACACCCTATATTTGTTAAAAAAACTGAAAGATATTACATTTGAAGATACAAATTGAGAATTTGTTCTCATCTTACTCAGAAACGTGAAGCGAATTAACAACTTTAACTTGAATTTTTCATTTCACTTTTCACATTTAAATGTGCATAGTGTTGAATATCAACATTTGCCATATACAACACCTTTTATAGCTTTATTGAGTTTTATTTGTTGCAAATGCTTAAAACCATTACGCAATGACGGTCAAAATGGTTAATGCTTAATTTTGAGAAGTGATTTTGAGAAGTGAGAAAGATACGACTTGCGAGAAATGAAGAAAATTATTTAGCTATGAAAGAAATGTAGAAATGCAAAGTATGTTAAGATTTGATATTCAGTCCGGTAGATTTATTTTCTTTACAATGTGAGGACAAAATTTATAAGATGAACTTCTCTTTAGTTTACGTAGTTAGTACTGTCGTACTTAATATAGAAAGCCTATAAGCATATTTTGTCATACTAAATACATAAATACTACATTCTTCCATATTTCTTTCTCCAGCAATTTCTATTGCTCTTTCTTTTTAATAGAATAAATAATATCTCTCCAGCAACTTTATCATACTTAATATAATAGATTGCTAATCAAACTGAGAAACATATTCATTCTGGCTCTTTAAAAGCATCATAAAGGCCTATGATATCCCTAGAAATCTAACTGAGACATTTTACAAATTCTAAAAAGTACTCCCTCCGTCCCAGGGAGAAGTTCCCCGGGTTGACTTTCACACATATTTAGGAAATAAAGTTACTGAGGGGTAAATTTTACTGTTTGGCACTGTTTCGACACTGTTTCGACACTGTTTGGCACTGTTTTGCACTGTTTGACACTGTTTTGATGTAAGATAACTTTCCATTTAGGGAAATGGGAACTTTTTGTTGGGACTACCAAAAAAGGAAAGTGGGAACTTCTCCCTGGGACGGAGGGAGTATTAGATAATCAACTTGTTAGATTTATCCAGATTTATTGGTAGCTAAATAGACTCCAATGTATTTTCTAGAACTGATCTTTCATCTTATTTGACCTTTCATCTCCTCACTCATTAATGTCCTTGTACACTCATTATTATAAATAAAGGAGTTCAGGGTTGTGGACAGACACACAACCAGAAAATGATCCCTGATTTCGATCACGTTAGAGATCAAATCCTCACTGGATCTGAGGTACCAACCATGGACAGTTTAACAACACGTCTCCTTCGGATTCCCACTCTCAAGGGTGACAAGTCTCAAGAACCTGCGGAGTTTTCAGCCATGATATTTCATGGAAGAGGGGGTCGTGGTAACACAGGAGGACGTGCAGGAAGAGGACGTCCCCAATGTACCCATTGCAAAAGAATGGGTCACACTCATGAGAACTGCTACTTTCTTCATGGTTTTCCTAATAAAACTGCCAACTTCTCTAAGTCTAAAGTTTCTGAAGTTTCTGATCCAAAACTCTCTGGTGAGGAATACCAACAGCATTTGAGACTAAAGTCCAACAACTCAGCAGAATCTTCCAAAACTCCGCCTACAATCAGTAGAAAGTCAAAATCCATGGATAATTGACTCAGGTGCTTCTGACCACATTTCTGGTAATACTTCTCGGTTCTCTTCCCTCTCACATCTTAAACACCCACATCTTATAACCATGGCAAATGGATCCAAAACAGCTTCCCAAAGAATTGGCCAAGTATCCCTTTCTCCTACCTTGAATTTAAAATCTGTTCTTTTTGTCCCCACATGTCCGTTTAACCTCATTTCATTAAGCCAATTAGCAAAGTCATTGAACTGTACTGTAACCTTTGATGCTAATTCATTTGTTATACAGGAATGTGGAACGGGTCGGATGATTGGAGAAGGATATGAATCTAGAGGTCTCTACTATTTTGGAAACAAATCACCAGTCTCTTGTTGTCTAGCTGCTCCTTCTCCCAAACTCTTGCATGAACGTTTTGGACATCCATACTTAGCAACATTAAAGAAAATGGTTCCTGAACTCAGCGGTCTTCAAACCTTAGAGTGTGAGTCTTGTCAGCTCGGGAAACATATTAGATCTTCATTTCCCAGCTATTCTGAGTCTAGATGTATTTCTGCATTTTCTATTATCCATTCTGATGTTTGGGGACCAAGTCGGGTTTCCTCTTTTGGTTTCAAATATTTTGTCACGTTCATTGATGAATTTTCCAAGTGTACTTGGGTTTATTTAATGAAGGACCGTTCTGAACTTTTGTCTATCTTTTCCTTCTTTCTTAATGAAATTCGCAATCAATTTGGCACAGTAATCAAAATTTTAAGGAGTGACAATGCCAAGGAATATTTCTCCTCGGGTTTTTCCTCCCTCTTAAGCTCACATGGCATTTTACACCAATCCACTTGTCCTCATACACCTCAACAAAATGGTGTAGCCGAAAGGAAAAATAGACACTTGATTGAGACTGCCCGTACCTTATTACTTAGTGCCAATGTACCAGTTCATTATTGGGGAGATGTTGTCTTAACCGCTTGCTTTCTTATTAACAGAATGCCATCCTCTTCTCTTAATAATAAAATCCCTCATTCTGTCTTGTTTCCTAATGAACCTCTCTTTCATGTTTCCCCTCGTGTGTTTGGTTGTGTCTGTTTTGTTCATGATATGTCTCCAGGATTAGATTAACTCTCAGCTCGGGCGGTCAAATGTGTTTTCTTAGGTTATTCCCATCTTCAAAAAGGGTATCGTTGTTACTCTCCTGAGAATAAGAGATATTATATGTCTGTCCATGTCACTTTCTTTGAACAAACTCCTTTTTTCTCAGAGATCAATCTGTCCAGCAAGTTCTCCCTATACCATCTCTTGAGCCCTTTGTTCTGTCTATTGTTGATGACTCCATTTCCAACCAGTCTCCTTTAGATCCAGTAGATGACTCAACCCCCAACCAAAGTCCTCTTATTACCTACCAACGTAGGATCCGACAAACCAATTCAATTCTTCAAAGTGAGCCCTCTTCACCAGATCCTTCTCAATCATCACCCTCTTCCACAGTTCTTGATAATGATGATTTAGCTTGGCCGGTTGCTCTCAAGAAAGGTACTCGTTCTACCCGTAATCCACATCCTATTTACAATTTCCTTAGCTATCAGACTTACTCCTTCCTATTGTAACTTTATATCCTCCGTCTCCTCAATCACAATTCCCAAAGATGTGAAAGAAGCATTTTATCATCCTGGATGGCGACAAGCTATGATTGCAGAAATGCAAGCTCTTGAACATAATAAAACATGGGAATTAGTTCCGCTTCCACCGGGAAAGAAAGCAGTTGGATGTCGATGGGTCTATGCCATCAAAGTTGGTCCGAATGGAGAAGTGGACCGTCTCAAAGCCCGGTTAGTTGCCAAGGGATACACCCAGATCTATGGCCTTGATTATAGTGATACATTTTCTCCAGGGCTGGGAAAGGTTTATTAGCCTATTTTTTTGTTTGATCCTTTTTTAAATAATAAGCCCATACTAATAATAAGATTTAGCCCGTCTAAATAATAGGTAAAAACAACTTAAACCCATATTAAACCCTTCTTAGTCGTGGGAAAAGTCTTGCGCAACATGCTTAGCGCTGAAAAACATTCAGCGAACCCACAGAAGCCATAAAATCCATAAGGTGTCTTCTTCGTCATAATCTTCACATGCTCTTTCTTTTTTTTGAGCTTGTAGTTTTCATTTATTTTGTCATCTTCTTTGTGATTCTTTCATTTTGTTCTTTCAGTCTATCTTCTTACTTTACTTTTATTAGTTCCAGTCATTTATGCCTACTTTAAGGTTCTTTTTGTTTCTAATATATGCTATACAACTCAACATAACATGTGTACCTGACCTACCAGTTTTCATGTGAACAACATATTATTTCATATTTTCATCTTATTATACAGTCTATAACTGTATATCTTCCTAGTATCATTTCATATTTTAACTGTATAAAAACTTCATATAATATAACTCAGTCAATAGTTTCATGTATTCATACACTACTTGATTTATGCAAAATTAACAAAGACAGACCCAACTCAGTTTTTTTTTTGTGAATCATGACATTATTTTGGTGAATCGTGACTTTATTTTTTAGAAACATGACTTTTTGATGTATTTAGTTCAATATGGTGTTAAAAATGTCATATTGAATCACTCTAGAATAGTATACATAACATTTTCTAAATAGTGTGCTTCACCCGAGTAAGGCGAACGCTTTTTTGCGCCTTGCGCCTCAAGCGATAGAAGTACTCTAGCGCCTTAAGTGCGCCTCGCGAATTTGACTACCTTGTCAATGAGGATTACTACTGATTTGCGTTTGTTCGTATTCCTTATTTGTCTCCTGACTGTGAAAGTGTTATAAGCATCGATTCCTTCCTTACTTAAAATCGATAGCTGCATATCGTTGTTTTCACCTCCTGTGTCAGTCTCAATCTCACTTGTCTCCTGCAGTTCACATTCCTCGTTTTCTTCTATTGATTCCACCCAAATTAACTGGTAGTCTCAATCTCACCTGTCTCCGAGAGCTTGGTTTCTTAAACTCACTACAGCATTGTATTCCTTTGGTTTGAAACAGTCTACAACTCTACATACTGTTGTATTACTCGAGTGTTAGTTAAGTAGTCAGTAGTCTTCCTCTACTTCTGTAAATACATTGTAATGGGTTACAATCAGAATTGAATAAACCAATTCTCCTTCTATTTCTCTCTGTTCTGTTTATCAATATGGGCCAGCCCACTGCTACTCAGTTACAGGGTCTAGACCCTATTATTATACACTATTAAAATACTTAATAATATTTTTATTAGCAGTATCCGGGTCCCTATCTTCACTCCCCTCTTTGGCTACCACCTTGTCCTCAAGGTGGGTTGTAAGAAACTGATCTGGCATATGGTTTCAGCAGGTTTTCTGCTACATCCAGTTCGTACTGTTGATCATTTGGTTCCTTCTCTTCTTTTAGATCTTCAGGACAAATTTACAACGTTTCATTCCACAAACATGCTCTTTGCTCCATGTGTCTCCACATTTGAAGCATAGGCCCTTTCTACTTCATTCCTCTAGCTCTGCTTGTGACAACCTTTGGCCTTTCTCCCATGTCTGGTTCAGTTTAGGTGTTTCCTTTGTTTTAATATCGACAGAAACCTTCACAGTGAGGCTGGTATTATTTTAATCTTGCCTCCACCAGTTCCCTTTTTGGTCTTCATCCGTGCTTCCTCTTATTCTCAGAGTCCCATTCTTTTCTTCCAGTAATAGAGCACAATCCATACACTCGGTCAAACTTTATGCAGGATACAGTTTGAGTTCTGCTTTGATCTCCTCCTCCGGCCATTGATAAAGATGCCTTTAAGCATTTCATTGTTAGTGCTTCACAGAGAGGAGCTATTACCCGTTCAAATTGATCCTGATACTCCATGACTGAACCTGTCAGTCTCACGTTAAGCATCGTCCCAATAGGGTGTTGTACCATGTCAGGCTCCGAATCACAGCCTGCTTAAAAAATTTCCCATGTGCAGACAGTAGTCTGCTCCTCCATCCATTAGAACCAGTTTAGAGCCTTGTCCTTCATTGGATGAAGAAACTCGAGGAAATGATGTCTGGAGGTCTGTTACTGATGCTTTTTATGGGATTCCATACCGTAGAAGGAAACATATGTACTAGAGAGAAGTCATGGACTTCCCCCCTCCCCTGCGCTCTTGTTGTAGAAGGAAACATATGCTTTTCCGCATCTTGTCCATCATCGCACCGTGTCTCACAACTCGTCCGCTGCTGTACGCATCTCAGCCAAGTTACGCTCAAGTTTTCCCATTCGAATCTCCATCTGAGCTCACGTAAATGTCATCCACATTGTTATACCGATGGCAGTCCCGATGCTATAAAATTGCGAACCAGCCTGACATTCTGACAAGTTCGGACCAATATTCTTTTTTTGGGTTCGGGCTGGTTTCAGGTGGGCTGGGTAATTCTGAGGGGTTTGGGGAGTGGTGGTGTGATGGGGTAGGGGTTGAAATAAATAAGAACACACAACTGGAGGGCTGGTCCAGGCAGGGGCAGATCTAGCATTTGCATTCAGATGGGGCCAAAATTTTATTAAATAGCGTATATTGCAAAAAAATCAAAATGTATTATAATAATATTATAGAAATGTCAAAGAAAAAAGTACATATAATAAAACTAACAATAGAATTTATCTTAAAAGACATAGAGTTGAACCGAAGTTGTATCAGTTACCCATATGTTTAACACAATTTTTTTAACACCAAAATTTTTACTCTGTACAAAAAAACTAATTATCACCTACCAAACCCAATGAATTCACCTAATTAATTTTCAACCCAATATTCAAAATCCCAATGAATTGGACATTAATTTTTAGGACAATATTAAAATAGCCCAATCTATTAAACTAATTGGTTTTTTTCGGGACTAATATTCAAAAGCTCAATCAATTAAACTATTTGATTTTTTCAGACTAATATTTAAAAGCCCGATTAATTGGACTAATTGATTTTCATGCTAGTATTCAAAAGTACAAAATTCAGATATGTTTGAAGAAATGATCCTACTCTTGTTCTTGTGTGGGTAGAAGAGATTGTTTCGGGAAAAAACTGAAAATTTTAAAATTGCATGTTCCTTCACTTGAATGAAAAAGAAAACTTGCCCTTGAGATCGAACACATAATATCTAGCTGCAGGTCAAGCTTCTACCATCACAGTATCACACCAAGATGAATATTGTATACATATAGACATTTGTTATTATTATACCATTTCTTCACAACACATAAAATTCCTGTATAAAAATACTAGTAATATTTTTTTTTGAGGTTGGACCCAGACCCTCTGGTCCGATGCCAGATCCGCCCCTGGGTCCAACACAAGAGCTGGGCATAGAGTTGTCCTCGGGCCGGGCCGGGCCCAGTTCGGGCCTTGAACTGGACCGGCCCCGGTTCACCAACTGCAGGGCCTGAGTCCGGACCGGTGGTCCCCGGTTCCAGGCCACCCGGTTTGGGTAATTTTTTTTCTTTCCTTTCTTCTCACCCCCCCCCCCCCCCCCCCCGCACCCCCTACCCCTCCAAACCCTCTAAACCAGTCCTAAACATCAAGCCCAAGCCCAACAGCCCGAAAAAAAAGGAAAAAATAAAAAAAATAGATTGGGCCCGGTTCCGGGCCGGGCCTCCCAAAATAGGACCCGAGCCCGGAACCGCCCCACCCCCGGGCCTCCGGCCCGAACCGGACCCGGACCCAGAAAACCGGGCCGGGCCCGCACAGTGGCGGGTCGGGCCAGTCCCGGGCCGGGCCGCCCGAACCGAGGCCAGGGAGGGAAAAAAGGTCGAAGAAGGCTGGAAGAAGCTCAGCGCATGGGGGCGGGAACAACCTGCGAGAAAGAAAGAGAAAAGAAAAAGAAAACATGGTAATGATCGAGAGATGAAAGAGCTGCTGAAAATGAGAGGAAGAGAAAAAAACATGGTAATGGCCGGTGGTCCATGCCTAGGTCTATTTGACCCTTTTCTCGTACTATTATCTCTCCAGATTTATCTCTTGGTCTTTTATGGTAACTAGAATACTGTACTCATTTATACTTGCACACATATCAGATTTATTCAATGAAAATATCTCTTGTGCATGGTATCTGAGCATTGATCCTTTTTCACCCGATCCTCTTCCTCATTCACCATGGTTGATACTTCCACTTCTGGATCTGCCAATGGTTCTGGTACCCACACTCACACTATTTCAAACACTCACGAGTAAAAATTGGTTCTGGTCCATACTTCAGCTGGACCTGCTTAGAAGTGCTGCAGAACGAAAAAAGTCATGGGTCAAATAGGTATTTCATGTTGGTATGTAGCTCGAGAAAACAGACAACCGTGCCATATGAAGCCATTTAAATAGGACTCTTTAATTATAAAATTGTGGCGTTTGACTTTCATAATCCCGGAGTATGAACTACTCTCCAGCAAAACATACAAAACCTGTTACCAAACAACTCCCACCACACGAACCACCTGCCCTCCATTTAGGTCTTTCAACGGGCCGGGTTCAGACCGGAATATAGTATTCCAGATTCTGACCCGTTACTCGACGAGTCTAGAATAATTATTCCAGACCAGGATTCAACTGCTTCGGTATACCCTTTTAAAATCAGATTCAGACAACCGTATTTTTGGAGAAAATTAAAGCTGTGTAACTACTAACTTTATAAGACAACAAGACAAAAGATATTTACTAAATTTACCCAATAAGACAATAACTACTACCTTCATCCCCTAAGATTCAAACAAGAGGGAGTATTGCAATTATAAGGTGAATGGTGTGATTAATTTTGATTTGGAGAAGTGTGACTATAGTATAGTAAGAATGAATTGCAACCACCAAAATACTACTAAATATGGTATGAGACAAGCTTAAAGTGGTGATGAATGAAAAAGATAAAATGGCAAAGATGGGGGGAAGTATTATTTTATACTAAATATGGTATGAGACAAGCTCAATGTGATGATGAACAATTTTTTATATTAAGTTTGGAGTATATATATATATACACACAGTTTACACACACACACACAACACTAAGTGTGCAAGTTTAGGGTGCTTATCTCACACCGCTTCAAAGTTTGGGATATTTAAATTATTTTTAAGAGTGCTCTCATACAAGATGCTGTTATAAATTTTTTCTTCTGCACATTGCATAGTATTTGCACTGAAAGAAAAGCACAGGTCAGTGTTCTAAAAGAGATGTGGCAAGGCGTCACAAATGAGTCACACTGCCACAACCAAGTGGAATCATTTAATCATGACTGTGGAAACGGGAATATAAGACTTGGGGTGAACTAAATAAATGATTAATTCGACTCATATTTCGGTTTACATTGATCCAAGTGCTTTTCGAGGTAACCTCGACTCCATCCTGAACTCTATCAGCTATAATCAATAAATAAAAAGGATTATTTTTAACTTAACAGGTCGACATAAATGGGCCTTAGGACAACACAGGAAGATTCATATTCAAAAATAAAAAGTAGGAGCACCAAGAGTTGCAACGATGGAGATTTAAAATATCCATCAGACTGCATATGCAAACGGCATCAATGTGTTTTTCCTATGACCTCACTAGTTTGAAAAACATGTTCTGCTTTGGAACAACAGCCTATCTGTGAACTCCAATACTCTTGCTACATCCTATTATCCAAATTACAGGTAGTATCAAGCAACTAACTAATCTTGATACTCGGCAAACTGGCTGTTCACTTAAATTTATAAACTTACCACGACACAAAAATTAAACATTACTATTCGTACTTCTCTATATAGCATTCCAGTGGAATTCTTAGCTTGTTTTTACCTGGTACTAAAATTATTATCTATCGCACCCTTCAGGCCTGCACATTCCTCTTATGTTGTATATTCACAAATTGAATTTGTCAAATTCTTTTAATTTTCTAACTAATAAGGAATGAAAGATATTAATGGTCAAACTTCTGCGTTGGCTAACGGAGGAAGCATAATTTTCCTTGTAAAAAGTTTGGCAACACATTATTTATACAATTGTAAAAAAATGTTATCATTCTTCCTGTATATCACCACCACCTAATAAGAAAAGATTTGCAAACAGAAACTGAATCTACATACAAAAAGCATTATTATAAGAAATTGAAAGTTGCCAATTCTATTAATTTATCAGCTCTACCCACCATAACAAACCTTCCCCTTGACCTGTATGTTGACCCTCTACAAAACCAAGGATGACCGTAAAACAAAATCAAAATTATTATAGCCAGAAGAAAATCTATAGTGATGATCTATTTGCAGTTTGCAACCAATAGATGCCGAGCACGCTCTTACCTTTGCCTAACTTTGAACATCCCGGTGCCCATCTGCACTGGTATGCCCGTGATGATGCATTCACTGACTCCTTCAATTTTGTCCTCTCATCCAGTTATAGAAGCACCGAAAAGGTGGTCCGAAGTCTTCTCAAAAGAGGCTAATGTCAATACACTATCTTTCATCTTCTGAATACCAGATCTAGTATATCCTAGTATTTCACCCTGAAACATTGAAGTTTATAAGTAAGTTTCCAGAACTCTTGTCATTGAAAACTAGATCAAGAGTTCAAGACAAACCAGGATACGAATTTATGAATTATGAGATCCCTAATCCCTATTACCTTAAATGTCATCAGATCATCTAGAAGCATCATGTGACGTAAGTCTGTAGTCATTCCATGGCTCTTCATGGTTTCATTAATCTCTTCAATTATACAACCTCTTGCAGCTTCTATTCCTAGAACTTGATTCACTTCCATGATGTGATTACTTCTAGTTTTTCGTCCATCAACTCCAACTGTGCCCATAACAGCTTGAAGACCAGTCCTACAGAATATGCCGAACTATATATTACTACCTCCGTCCCGCAAAGAAGTTCCCACTTTCCTTTTATGGATGTCCCAAAAAGAAGTTCTCATGTCTATAAAAGGAAACCCCTTTTAACCAAAAAGTCACAACTACCCTTACTTTTTACCCACTTTTTGTTTGATTTGACATAAAGTAGGGGTATACTTGTAAAGTCAAAACAAAATTTTCTACCTTACATAAATATATGTGTAGGTCAAACTAGGAACATCTTTGCAGGACGGAGGGAGTATGTTTTTGGAGGAGAAAAACTCAAGTAGTCAAGGACAGCAAATAAATGGAACTATATCTTCTGACAAATAAGCTGTGTATATCACACACACTCACAGCTATTATGCACAGCTGATACAAGCACACATTAATAGCTTCTTCAGTATAAGGTTTTTATGACGCTTCAGGTAAATTGTTAAGCACCAGTAATCCTCTCCTGAACAGATCAAACTTCCATAATTTTCTTATAAAAGACCACCACATATTATTCTCTTTCTATGAGTAATTTTATCACAATGATAAGAGTCATGAGTGACAAATGCTGTTTTTACTAGGTTTCATTAATTTTTCTTATAAGATCATAGAATATTGATGACTAGTGTGACTAGTAGTGTCTGCCAGGTTCAAGTAGTTTTTCTTATTCAAATATTAAAAACCTAAACTTTTTCAAATACACTCACATTCAAGAAGGGAAAAGTGTAGAACAGAGTAACACAAATGAGCACGACCCTATGAAGATCTTTCAAAGATTAACAATGAACCACAATGAGAGCGTGTATATCAGAAAATACAACAATTCTTCAGGATGTAGTAGGGGCATTAAAAGAGGGTGTGAAAGTATATAGATTATACTTTAGGATATTAGAATATACTTCAGAATATTCTAGGAATATACTTTAGGATATTATTATTGTATAGAATCTTATATAGTTATATTCTATTTGTAATGTATATTTATAGGGACTTACACAAGTAATGAAATACACAGAAAAACTTTCCTCCTCTCTTCAATATTATATTTTGTAGTTTATATTTCAACATGGTATCAGAGCCTTCCATTTCAGTTTAGTTTTTTAGATTTCAGTTCTTTATTCAGGCTGATTTCAGTTCAGTATTCAGGCTGGGTTCTTTCTCCAAGAACTTGAGTTAACTTCAGAACCTTACACACCATTTTCAGAACCTTACACACCATTCTACCTCTACACACCATTAAACAGAACCTCTGTCCAGACCCTCATTCCAGAACATCAATACACCCTAACCAGAACCTTTGTCCAGGCCAACACCGTCCTATTTCTGACCTCCGTCCTAACCAGTTGCACTTGCCGCCGCCGACAACGTCTTTGGAGTCCGCACCGGCAAAGCTTCGCGCGTCAGTCACACGCGCCGTCGAAGACTTTCGCGGCTGCCGCACGCGCCAGCGAGTGAAGCTTCATAGCTGACCGGATTTCTAATCGGAAATCGCCATCTAGGTCGCCTGAGTATTCTCTGCCAGGCAAATCCATTTTTCCGATCTGCGAGCTTTTGGATCCACGGTCTTCTCGAGGTTGGCGACGCGTATACTTTTGGGATTTGAGACTAGGTGAGCTGGCTCGAATTAGAAAGGGGCTGCGTTATATTTTTGGAGTCGCCACAATCATTAGCTGGCAAGTCTTAATTAGTTGTATTTATTTATTTTTGGAGTCGCCACTATCATTAGCTAGTAAGTCTTAATTAGCTGTATTTATTTATTTATTCTCGAAAAAAAGGGTAAAAAAATAAAAAAAAACAAAAAAAAACAAAATAAAAAAAAACAAACACACAAAAAATGTCTTTTACGGGTCCATTTGGCAGAGGAGTAATATGCCATTACTGCAAGAAGCCCGGGCACTTGCTCAAAGAATGTAGAAAGTTGCTGTTCAAAAATCAAGGAAATCAGCTTGCTCATGTTGCTTCCGCTACGAGTTCATTTGATGGATCAATTGCTATTTCTGCAGACGAGTATGCCAAATTTATTTGCTACCAAGAATCTCTAAAGCATTCCTCTATCCCTATCTCGGTAGTCGCTAATTCAGGTATTTCAAGCACATGCCTCGTTTCATCATCCTCGAAATGGGTCATTGACTCAGGTGCCACCGATCATATTTCTATCTCAGCGTAAATATGTACTTGATTTACTAGCTGAAACAGGGAAATTGGGAGCAAAGCCAAGCACAACTCCCATGGTTCCTGACGTGCACTTTGTCGTGAGTGCACTCAAAATAAATTCAATACTAACACTTACACGTAGTATAGGTGAAGTAGAGTTCGTATCCACAGGGAAAGGAATAATTCTCTTTTTATGTAACTAGTAAATAAAGGGGGGTTTTGATTGAGAGATTTAATTTAAATTTAAACACGAAGATGAACGAGTTATATGTGATTTAATTCAAAGATAAAAAGGACTTGGCATTGCTACTTTCCACTTGTTGATATATTTTAGTCGATCATTGTTATATCTATAACTAATCCCCTCTCGAATACTCAATCGAGGAGTATATCCAATTCATCGAGGGTAGTTATTAACAACGACCGTTCATTAATAACCCTTACTATTAGTCATGTATAGAACACCGCCATATACCGACTTAATAGTAGCATTTAATCTCTTAACTCCTTGATGAAATCAATTGAGATTGATAACCTCAACACAACGGTTTCGGTTTAACCAACAAAATTAATCCCTCTTAAGTTTATTAACCACAACCGTGCATTAATAAACCGAAGTTACTTACTTGTGAAACCATCAACGATTAACCATCGGTTCGTTGATCGTTTCTAGTAGTAATTAATGTCGAGATGTTAACTAATTGTCATCTTAGCAACACTCCCCAACATTAATATAGAGATAGATTAAGGGAAGAATTAATATTCAAGGAAGAAGATTAAATATGAATAATCCTACTATAACTAATGTCAAGATGTTATCTAATTGTCATCTTAGCAACACTCCCCAACATTAATATATAGAGGAAGAAAATAAATACTACTATAACTAATGTCGAGATGTTAACTAATTGTCATCTTAGCAACACTCCCCAACATTAATATATAGATAGATTAAGAGAATAATTAATATTCAAGGGAAGAAGTTAAGAAAATAACTCACAACTTTAATAATCAACAAGCTTCAAGAGCAACACCAAGAAATGGAAGTTTAGCTCCTCATTTGGAGACTAAACATGCTAAAAAAATATAAAAGAAATACTATTCTAAGTTGAGCTTAAGAGTATGGAAGAAGGAGTGATTATTTGTGAAGGAAAATGGGGTTATTTATAGGTGTTTTCAACACCCTGGGGCATTGACCCGCCCGGGTAAAAGGACATACCCGACCGGGTCAACGTCAAAATCACATATTTCCCACGTTCTGGCGATCTTCGGCATGTTCTGGTGTTCCGGGTCACATCTGACCCGACCGGGTCAAATAAGTGACCCGCCCGGGTCTAGTGACTTTCTCAGCAGTTTCTGATTCTTTGTCATACCCGACCGGGTGAAGTATTGTACCCGGTCGGGTTTGTGCTTCTGGGCAGCCAAATCTTATTTTTCTTCACTTCAAAGTCCTCCTTTTCAACACCCTAATTCCTAACTCTACTTTACAACTTACAAATGAAGATTAAAATACAATTACAACTAAAATCACACAAATGTTTACAAACTAAATAAAACGGTAAACAAACCACACAAATCATACGTAAAAAACATACACTTGTGCACTACTAATTAGTGCATATCAAACACCCCCACACTTGAACCTTTACTCGTCTCGAGTAAACAAAATCCAGCCCAAGAAGTCCTTAAAATGACAAGAGTATCAACACCAACATCCACGTGTGTTTGTAGAACAACACAAAAATATCCCCACAAATATAAGAGTAAAGAGGGGTCTTCAACTCCACATTTTGTTATCAACCTCAATTTTTTTTTATTGTTACCCTTAGGATCCTGCAGAAATAAAAGAAAATACTTTCTCTCGTTCTCTCATTTTGCCTAGGTGCCCTTTCGGGTTTTCATCCCAGCTTCCCAATTTTCTCTCTCCTTTTTTTTTATCCTCACAACTCACTCTTTTTTTTTTTTGCTTTATTTTTGCTTAAGTTGCCTTTTCAGGTTTTCAACTTAACAAGCTCTTTTTTTTTTTTTTGCTTCATTAATTTTTTTTTTTTTTTTTGAACAAGAATGAAATGTGAGTATTCCATGAAACTCTCCCCCCAAGCTAATCAAAGCACTGTCCCTAGTGCTTGTGTCCGAGATGTCCAAAAGGATGAATCTCTTTGCTCTTTTTGGTGTCTGTCCATTTTTTGGGGGGGGGGGTAGATGGCAATTTTGGATTTTTGTGAATGAGTGGCTTTGATTTGGTTTTGTGGATATAGAAGTGAAGAGGGTGAAGAGGAGGAAAAAAAATGAAGAGGAGGAAAAAAAATATATGGTGTTAATTGATGGATTTGGTTGAGTGAGGGGTGAGTTTTTTTTTTTTTTTTTTTTTTTTTTTTTTTTTTTTTTTTTTGGTGTTTAACGGTAGAAGAATTGGAGAGGGTTTTTGATTTGGGGAAGAAAAAGGTTGAAGACGATTGAGCCCGTCTGGTTTTGAGGTCAAAATTCGACGACCCGGTCGGGTGGTGTATGTGACCCGGTCGGGTGTAAAGGTTCTCCGGAGGCAGTGAGTTTTTTTTTTTTTTTTTTTTTTTTTTTTTTTTTTTTTTGTCAGTTGACCCGGTCGGGTGGTCTGTTGCACCCAGTCGGGTTCTTTACTCCAGGGGCCATTTAACAAATACACCCGGCCGGGTGAAATGAGAGACCCGGTCGGGTGTACTGCCCATTTTTTTTTTTTGAAAAGGTTTTCCCACACACACACAAAAAAAAAATGTAAATAAACACAATAGAAACTTGGGTTGCCTCCCAAGAAGCGCCTTATTTAATTGTCGTAGCACGACGTTTATTTTTATTTTTATTTTTTTTGCTTTATGTGGGATCGTGAATATCCCTTGTTTCATTCTTCCTCTTTGGCCTTTTCCAGTAAAGCCGTGATTTCTTCTTGGTTATCTCCTCTACCCTATGCTCAATTTTTTCTTCCTTTTCAAAAAGTGAGGTTTTCTCAGCTTCTTTTTCAACAAAAATAGGTGATGTTTGTGGTTCAAAAACATTTAGAGAACAAAGGGATTGTTTTTTTATTTGCTTTTTTGTAGAATCAAAGATGTTGAATTCTACTTTTTGGTCATCAAACTCTAAAGTTAATGAACCATTAGACACATCTATTTTTGTTTGGGCCGTTTTTAAGAAAGGTCTTCCCAAAAGGATGGGTGTAGCTTGGTTATCGGCTTCCATTTCAAGAATATAGAAGTCGACAGGGAAGACCAAATTTTCAACTTTTATTAGCACGTCCTCTACGACACCCTTTGGGTATATGCTAGACCTATCCGCCAATTGGATTATCACCCCGGTTTCATGCATAGGGCCAAGTTTTAGGGACTTGTATAATGAATATGGAATAACATTGATTGAAGCCCCTAAATCTAACAAGGCCCTAGGAAATAAAGTGTCCCCTATTTTGCATGGGATAGTGAACATGCCTGGATCGTTGCATTTTTCCGGGAGTTTCCTCTGGAAAATTGCCGAGACATGTTCACTAACCTTGACCTCTTGTTTCCCTTTCAATTTATTCTTTCTTTTTATCGTGCATAGTTCTTTTAAAAACTTTGCATAACGGGGAACACTTTTGATTAGTTTAAAGAGTGGGATATTTACCTCACAATTGGCGAAGGTCTCGTAGATGTCCCGATCATTCTCCAACTTCCTTGTGTCCTTCAGCGCCTCAGGGAATGGAGGGAGTGGCTCATATGATGAAAGTGGAGGAAATTTTGTCTTCGTTGGTTCCCCCTCGTTGTGGTCAAACGCGTCATTGTTAACTTTTTCTTCAGCCTCCTTTGTTTGCAACTCCTTACCGCTCCTCGTCATGATCGCATTGACATGTTGTCTCGGGTTTTGCTCCGTTTGAGAAGGGAGTTTTCCCGATTCTTTGGCCTCTAGCCTACTCACAGCAATCGAAATTTGGCTAACTTGAGTTTCCAAATTTTGAATGCTTGACTTTGTTTCTTGTTGAAATTGCAAAACATTTTGTTGCAAAGTGCCCATGTTCGTAGCAAGAGCTCGAATCATGTCCTCCGTGGACATGTTAGAGTTGGAGCTTTGACCTTGATGATTTGGGAAGGATTGTTGAAAGGACTGATTTTGTTGTGGTTGAGGGTTCCCATATCTTAAATTAGGGTGATCTCTCCACCCGGGGTTGTAAGTATTAGAGTGTGGATCGTACCTCTTTTGTTGTTGGGTTTGGAAACCCAAGGCGTTGACTTGCTCTTCTTGGAGAGTTGGGCAAGAATCTGTTGGATGCCCTTGCTGTGTGCATATGCCGCAGACCTTGACCTCTTGGTTTCTAGGATTTAAAAGGAAATCCTTAACCAAGGAAGTCAAGCCGGCCATTTGACTTTCTAAAGATGAAGATGATTCCGCCGCGGCAACTTTACGGGTTGAGGACCGCCCGTTGTAATGCCTAGAGTTCTCGGCCAACTCTGAGATTAAGCTTGTTGCTTGTGAGGGAGTTTTGTTGACAATGCCGCCCCCACAAGCGGCATTCACCATTCTTCTATCATCATCAACAAGACCATCATAAAAGTAGAGTATGAGGTCTTGCTCGGTGTAGCCATGATAAGGGCAGCTAGCACATAACTTTTTGAACCGTTCCCAATATTCATATAAGGTCTCATCATCTTTTTGATCAATGTTGCTTATTTGTTTTTTCAAAGATGATGAGATGGAGGCGGGGTAGTACCTTTCTAGGAAGCATTTCTTCATTGCCGCCCATGTGTCTATGCTTCCCGAGGGAAGATAGAATAGCCAATCCTTAGCCGTGTCCTTCAGTGAGAATGGAAAGGCCCTCAGCTTGATTTGTTCTTCCGTAACATTATTTGGTTTCATACTAGTGCAAACTATATGAAACTCCGCAAGATGTTTGTTTGCATCCTCGCCCCTTAGGCCATGAAATGAAGGGAGTAGATGAATGAGGCCTGATTTGAGCTCAAATGTAGCACCTTCATCAAGAGTGGGGAAGGTGATACATAGAGGTTGTTGATTTAAGTTAGGAGCCGTGAGCTCCCTCAATGTTCTTGTTTCTTGAGCCATAGTGATTGGCTCTTCGTTCTCGCTAGAATAAGAACTAGCACTTGATGACTCCTCCGAAGAAGTATTCGGAAATAAATTCCTAAACCTCTCGAAGGCTTGTTCTGTTTCGGGGTTTGTTTGGTAGGTGATTTGGTTTATAGATCGGTGTTTAACCATATACTCAAACAAAGCTCAGAAGAATAGAAATCTCTATATTTAGGTAA